TTTATAGTGAACACTGATTTTCAGATTAAAATCAATTATTGAAAGGGATTTTCTTAAGAAGTTAAGAAAATTATGCATATTTCATAAGTTTATAAGGGAATAATGGTTCATTATTTGCCCTAAAATGTCCTTAAAAGAAAACTTATACATTAAAACATCTTCTCCCTTAAATAGTTATAGTACCCTGTATGCAATCCCCTGCCATTTTGTGCTATTTGATTCTTGGAGGTTTTTTTTCATTTCAATCCTCCTATTTCTCAACAAGTACACATCAATAGTATCATCTCACCGCAGCAGCAAGGAAAGAATAACACCGCTATGAATTACAGCACTTTTGATGAGACAGAACATTTGACACTGACCCTCGGACGACTGTTCTGACTTTATCTAACCAGCATCAAGTAGAGATTACAGTCTCCCAACATCAAACAAGATATAAATTTCTCTTTAATTTCCTCCTACATACATATTTACAAATTACAACTTCTGTACATCTGTTGAAATATCTGTAATGAAACTATGGAATGTACAATTCCCCAGGTCAGAATTCTACAAAAACTATCAACGAATTGATTTTCAACAAAGAGCAAGGCTTTTAAAGCCAAAGAAAATTGTATCAGTTTCAATGAACGATAGGAAACAACATATAGGTGCATTAGTCTCTTATGTTTTCATTATATTTATGTACATATATAAAATACAGACTTCTGAGCTATACAGTAACATATTTATGACCCAACTTAAATGACATCAAGATAGATTAGGAGTTTAAACTAAACAGATATCTTTTACAAATCTCTGAAAAGAATAAATCTGTTCCAGGGAGATAACATCTATTTCTATATTTATTACAGCTGTTGTCTAGCTCCGTTAACTAAGATCTTACCAAAAATACTCAATTTGTACCTCCAAACAATTGAAAACAGAAGAAATGTTTACACACATACACAAATCTTAAACAGGGAGTAAGTACCTCTCCAATTAAACCTGGCGTAATGGTGTGATCAGATGGATTGCAGTTGTGGCATTAAAGTGTCTATGAATCTAACGATTTCTAATATGTCTTAGTTCACATGATGTGGTTGTGACGGACTGACCATGAACTTGTTCTGCCATGAGAAGTTTGGGCTCATCCACACGCCAACATGCTATATGTTTAGAGATAAGTTCAGTAGTGAAGATCTATTGAAAACAGTATATGGATTCGGCCTCGAGAATACCCTTGTGTTCAAGGAGCCAGGGTCAAACATAAAAAAAAAGGTTGGTTACCTGAAAAAGTTAAAGGTAAGCTAGGATACCTTGACTAAACGTACCTGATGACCCTTTCACTTAAGCAGTCCCCTAAAAAGGCAAATATTCCAAACACCCATGTGCACTGGACTAAACAATAACAGACTACTGTGGAATATATGGTAGACCAAATAGATCTGCTGTTTCAATTGTAACACTCGAGATCTCAATTTTTTTCTTTCTCATTTCCCTAGTTCTTTTCATACTTAATTTTCACTTCTTGATGTCTCCCTTAACACACATCTTCAATTGACCCTGTTAATCTGATGGATATTTCAACAAATCCCCAGGAATTTGCTGATGATTTTTAATTAGAAATGACTTACACTTGCATTTGATGCTAGAAACACGTAAGACGGATACAAAGACAACACTAGATATTTCAATATACAGATTTTTGCACCATTACAAAAAGTAAGAAGTCACAGATTGACCTCATTATTCAGAGGAAAAAAAACACAAAACAGTCATCCGAGGGATCCACAACTTTACATAACAACCAACTTATCAGCTTAAAAGGAGACTTGCAAAGTATCATTCCAATGTAAACCGTTAGAAATCACTGTACATTTTCAAATGTTATACTCCTGGGTACTGGAGACTGATAAAATCTATATATATATGGGTGTGTATATGGTATGTGAAGATTAGAAGGACAAAAATCTGATATAAAAGTGACTATTGCTAATCAGAAATAGTTAAAATATAAATTCCAAACAGATGCATTTTATCATACAGTGATACAGTGAAGTTGTGGTAAGGTTTATTAAAACATATACACCTAAAATGTTGTGAATTCAGTTTTTATACAAAACGAGATAGATTTTAATCTTTTCAATTCACCAATGTTTTCAGTTCTGTTCAATGTTTGGCTCTATCATCAACAATATATACATCATTAAAACTGTGAGGTATTGGACGAGGAAACAAGATCTGACGTGCTAGCATACTGTAAGAAGCATTACACACTTGTGTTTTTATACATATAGGTTCCTTGTACTTACATGTGTATTAAATACTTTTCATATATTTATATCTAATATTTGTACACAGATGTTCATCAATAGGTTATATTAAAATAGGTTATCACACTGATAGCTGGAAATACACTAGAAGCTGTAAAGTTTAACATTTCAATGCCTTTTAACGTGCTATTTTAGCGGATTTATACACATTGTACAGCCTTTACTCTAAATACATTGCATGTCAGTTTTATAGTGAATTAACAATCAATTCCTATATAAAAGTATTATTTGATTGTAGCTCTTAAAATCATCCAACTTGTGCTTTAGTTTCTTTACGTTGTACCCTGCTGAGATAAATCCCCATTTATTTCATCTAATGAGAGATGAGATAAATCACCATTTATTTCATTTAATGAGAGATGAGATAAATCCCCATTTATTTCATCTAATGAGATGAGATAAATCCCCATTTATTTCATCTAATGAGAGATGAGATAAATCCCCATTTATTTCATCTAATGAGAGATGAGATAAATCACCATTTATTTCATCTAATCATACAGAACATCCTTTAGATTTTAATATTTTGCATTTTAACAGAAACGTTTGCTTTTAACATGATATCTGGTTTTTCATAATATCTATTAAATATACTTGCTTACCTACAGTCGATACAGGAAACACTAAAACCATTCTTTCTAGGTTATCAGTTAACCTAGAGGTTTGAATAAATTGCTAATGTCATGCTCAGACTCTCTGACTTCACCTAAATGATCCCACAACTAAAATTATGTAAAACGTTTTGTACATTGATAGCGGTGACATTTATAGAAATTCCCACCTAGTAGTTCGCCAAGAAATGAGAGAGAAATATTGTAGAATGAAATAATTTCCTTACTCAACCAATACCATAACATCTAATCATACTGTTATTAGCGCTCACCTCCCAGAGAAACAAACAGTATTTACTGTATCACCTTCCCAGCAGTCAATTCCATAGATACATACCTACCATCATTGGCAAGAACAAAAATGTCTGATTTGGCATCTTCTAAAACTAAAAATGAAAAATAACTAAAAAATCAAAACAAAACCCACGATATAAAGCCACCATGTAAAGATAGCTGAATATCTAGAAACATGTCCTAAACCTGCTACTCACTTAGTGTTGATGTGTCGTAAACCAATACTTCAAAAACAACAAGAATCTATCCTCAGGCAGAAGGCCCTTCATTTGGCAGCAACAGTAACGCCAATGGTAAGATCTCCACAATCTGAGGAATATTATTGCTTCTTCAAAAATACATCAAAATACAACAGAAGCTTTTAAATAAACTAATTACCTACACAGTATGGAGTTCTGTTCCATATAACATTTTAAACTATCCATTCATAAACAACTGTTTTGCCACATGAAAATCTTCAAATGTCTGTGTTTTCCCTTCATCATCCTTCCAAAAAATTGACAATGTCTGTGTTTTCCCTTCATCATTCTTACAGAAAATTGACAATGTCTGTGTTTTCCCTTCATCATCCTTAAAGAAAATTGAGAGACGTGGTAGTTTTGTTTCCCAACCTGACAGTTATCATCTTATTACCTGATTATGTATTTTGTAGCTTTTGAAAGTTCAGGTCTTTGATACGATGAAAACATTTCAAACAAAATAATCTTATTTCAACTAATGAAAAATATTCAAGGTATGATTTGATAAAAACAGACATCCAAATCAGCAGGAAGCTAACTTCAGCCTCATCTCTAATTAATTTTCACAACTTATTAATTGATAAGTGTGTTTTTTTAAATGACATCTATAATGTTCACATGATATTGTATGATGACATAAAGTAGCTTATTCAATTTCAAATCTGCTTAAAGAGACTTTTTCTATTAAGAAATAATTTTCCATTGGGAGACCATCATTTTCTCATCACAAAAAATCAATTGCTATATCATACAATGTCTCCATACCTGGACCACTGGCATCACTTAATTGTCTCTTTGCAGATCAGAATGCATTGATGGGGTTAAACAATGAGGTTATAGTAAATTACAGAAACAAAGGACTTCACACTAGATCATACAACCTCTGTCACACACTTCCATCCCATGTTCTTACTACTCAAAATTTATCAAAGTAAAAAATGCTTTCAGTAATTTTTCTTTGATTATAAATTGTTACTTCTGGAAGAAAATTCATATTGCAGGTCCTAATATTTGGACTGTACCTAATATCTCCAAGTCAAAAATATTTGATTTTTTTTCTCCAGAGCCGACCAGCTTCAGACACCATTCCTAGGTTCTGAAGCAGCCATTTCAAGAAATATTCCTGTTAATCAACCATCTCCAGAGAAACACACATCACTATGTACAAGAACATGACACACTGAAAGCATAATTATTCCAGTTTTGCCAATGGGATGGAAGGAAGTTCAAAACGTTGTATGATTTATGACAAATGGTTAAGACTGAGTTCAGGCATCCAAATAGGTTTGACAGAAATTATTGTCTGTAGTACTTACGTGGCTCAGACACACTTAAACACATGTTAAGCATACATGCCCCAAATACATTTATCTGTAATGGACAAATTCTGACTTCAAATATGTCAATCAGAAGAATTTTAGACAAGGACTCCATTAGCAAGTCTCTAAAAAGCCCCTTGGTCAAACTCTATTTGAATGAGCCAAACAGCTTCATCTAAAGCTGTCCTTAATGGGTACCAGATTCAAATTCACTTACCCTGTCCCAAAATCAAACCTATACAGAAGCCAAAGTCTTAAACATTGTTTGGGGTCTAAACTAAAACAAAATCTATTTGGAGGCCAGTAAAGAGGTCCCAATCTTAACTATGTAAATGGAGAAAATTCTAGGTCTACACTAAATATCCCATCTGAGGCCTCTCAATGGGTCCAAACTTAATATTCAAAGTAACAATACTATGCGAGTGCTCCATTTGGGGGCATGCCAATTGGCCCAAGGTCTGAGTTGTTCTTCATGAAATATTTCTCAAGCTTGGCCAGGATGTGTTTGCCGTAGGTGTACTTGCGCAGTGTAGCGATGTGGGGACGGATCTTGTGCATGAGGATCTTCCTCTGAGTGGGCTCTGCCACATCAATCATCTTCTGCACCACATAATTGGCAAACTGGTCCTTCATCATCGAATACAAGGCACTGTGAGGTCTGAAATGTATAGAAAACCTCTGTCTTCAAAACAGACAATACATGTCTCGCTTACATATCGGAGAAGCACTTGGGACATTTTTTTTTCATATTCCTCAGAGTTGGTACATTCTGATAGCCATTTCATTCTGTAGAAAATTGCAGCTGTCTGCAGATTTCAAAAGAAGACATTTTACAGCTAACTGCAAATTTTCATGGGGAGACACGTACAGCTACCTTAGATTTTCATGTGAAGATTTTGTGCAGTAGTGAAGAGACTTTCCACATAGCTGTAGGTGGACTTCATGGGAAAGAGATTTTTTATTAGGTGTAATTGATCTTGTCATCACAGAACAGCTAACAATAGCATCAGGATATTATATTGTTATTGAGCTTGTCACTGTTACATCACAGAACAGCTAACAACAGCATCAGGATATTATATTGTTATTGAGCTTGTCACTGTTACATCACAGAACAGCTAACAACAGCATCAGGATATTATATTGTTATTGAGCTTGTCACTGTTACATCACAGAACAGCTAACAACAGCATTAGGATATTATATTGTTATTGAGCTTGTCACTGTTACATCACAGAACAGCTAACAACAGCATCAGGATATTATATTGTTATTGAGCTTGTCACTGTTACATCACAGAACAGCTAACAACAGCATCAGGATATTATATTGTTATTGAGCTTGTCACTGTTACATCACAGAACAGCTAACAACAGCATCAGGATATTATATTGTTATTGAGCTTGTCACTGTTACATCACAGAACAGCTAACAACAGCATTAGGATATTATATTGTTATTGAGCTTGTCACTGTTACATCACAGAACAGCTAACAACAGCATCAGGATATTATATTGTTATTGAGCTTGTCACTGTTACATCACAGAACAGCTAACAACAGCATCAGGATATTATATTGTTATTGAGCTTGTCACTGTTACATCACAGAACAGCTAACAACAGCATCAGGATATTATATTGTTATTGAGCTTGTCACTGTTACATCACAGAACAGCTAACAACAGCATCAGGATATTATATTGTTATTGAGCTTGTCACTGTTACATCACAGAACAGCTAACAACAGCATTAGGATATTATATTGTTATTGAGCTTGTCACTGTTACATCACAGAACAGCTAACAACAGCATCAGGATATTAGAAACATACTCAATTTTACGGTCGTTTAAATCGTGATACATGTTAATGTTAGGGTGATAATTAGTGGATGTTAAGGTAATGTGTGATCAGTCAACACATCACAATCATGTTTCACCAAACACATCCATTGTTAGTAATAACATGTTATCTCTATTCTACAGCGAAACCAGACTTTACTGATCACTGTCTCCAAAAGCATCCTGTAACACTGACTATTTTTGTCAGGACAGTGACATTCAATACATCTAGACCCTCCCTTCTCCAGAAACCTACATGAATTTTTTGGTACAGATGAGTAACTTGTAACTTGTGTCAATTTTCTCACTAACATTACCAACTTATTCACTAAGTTACAGTTACCTGGGCTTGGCCAGACTCATCGGTCAAAATGCTCAAATTTTAATTTGTGTATGTAACAAACTTTAATATTTTTGTTTGAATGTAACTTGTATCTTTGTCTATGAAAGCACTTGTGCCGCTACACACATTTTGCCCTGCTATCTTTGAGTCATGAGAAATTGCCAACACAGACTTAATTGAGATGATGACAGTGATCTGTACTGTGTCAGTCTGGTTTCCTTGATTAGTAAGCTAGTGACAATCTATTGATTGGTGGTTAGTTGTGCAGTATTATCCTAAAACAGAACTATTTACCCGTCATTCATTGAGCAAACTTCCTCAATCAGCATGGCTTTCTCTGATCTCGAGGAATGGGACACGCACTTCTCCACCACATTACTGAAATGGCAATGGTGAGATTAAGTTTAAAACCCACAAGGAAATTTAATACTGTAAACTTCAACTGCAACTTATCAACATCAGCATATCATCAAAATATTTGTAATCTATCTTTTGTGTTCTTCTGCAGATCAAGGACTAACCTCGCAAATTTGTGTTGACTGAGGACGAGGACCTTGCCACGAAGCTCCACTACTATCTTACTCTTGTCATCTGGCTGTCCATGCTCCAAGACATGTTGTATAACATAGTTTCCATACTGGTCCTGGACAAGACGTTCAATTTGTTGGTGTAGCTCGTCAAGTATTGGATTGGTCTGATCCATGTTACAATGCTCAAGAATACGCTGGATCACACGACAGCCGTAAGGATGTGTCGACAAGGCATGTACCTAGTAAGACAGGAAATGCATCGGTGTGAAATATCAATAGTTTAAAATGAATAATAGTATAATTGGTTAACATCTGCATCAAACAGACAATCAGATCCATAGAAAAGTTTATCTATTACCCATTCATCCATCCAAACAACAGGCCAGATCCACAGAAAAGTTTATCTATTACCCATTCACACACACATACACAGACAGACACACACACACAGACAGCATGACAGACAGACAACTGGTCAGATCCATAGAAAAGTTTATCTATTACCCATTCTCACACACAGACAGACAGACAGACAATAGGCCAGATCCATAGAAAAGTTTATCTATTACCCATTCTCACACACATACACAGACAGACACACACACACAGACAGCATGACAGACAGACAACTGGTCAGATCCATAGAAAAGTTTATCTATTACCCATTCTCACACACAGACAGACAGACAGACAATAGGCCAGATCCATAGAAAAGTTTATCTTTTACCCATTCTCACACACAGACAGACAGACAGACAATAGGCCAGATCCATAGAAAAGTTTATCTATTACCCATTCTCACACACAGACAGACAGACAGACAATAGGCCAGATCCATAGAAAAGTTTATCCATTACCCATCCACAAAGACAGACCGACAGACAATAGGCCAAATCCATAGAAAAGTTTATCTATTACCCATCCACACACACTGACAAACAACAGGCTGACACAGATACAAACACCCAAATAAATATTAGATTAAGAAGGAAACCAGACCTATATTACTCTTCTGGGATAGAAATGTGAACGCCTGATGCATGTGAACATTTCTGAGACACAAACTGTGAAGAATTATACTCAACACTGAGATGTAGAGTTATATATAGAAATTTAGAGGTTTTTTGTTTGTTGTTGATTAACATTTGCAAGTCACAATAGGCAGGAAATACAGTGTGTGAAATACCACTTTGAAAAATAAATGTGTTATTATACCTGTCCCTTGAAGGCGTCAATGATAAACTGTAGGTGTATGGGGTCTACACATTCAATACACTTCTGTACCACATGGTTTCCATTCTGGTCTTTCACGCACTTCAGCACATGGCCATCAAGTTCTTTAACAATCTCCACCTATATCAGAACAGTAAGTCACATGTTAAAATAACAGATGTTAATTGGGTGAATGTGCACCTGTTCTTTTATGGCAGGCTATTCATTATAGGTATTCTATCCACTGTCGTTAACATTATCTAAATCATTTACTTAATTTCCATCTAAATCCTTTACTTAATTTTTTCCATCTAAATCCTTTACTTAATTTTCAATCACTTTCCAGTTGACCTTAAAAATGATAAATTTTGAATGAAAACATGGACATTCCACCATTTTTACTGTGATTATAAGTCATATAAAAACTGCGTTGAACTGACCTGCATTTCACAAGGAATAGTTTCCAATGCTTTCTGTATTACACGGCATCCGTACATCTGTAGGGCTAAAGGCAGAACGTGTCCTCGTAGTCGCTGTGCAAGGGTCTGTTTCTGTTCACTTATTCCAAACTCAAAGAATTTTTGTATTACGTAATTACCAAACACATCCGTCATTAGACTATAGGCATGGTTGAGGATCTCATTAAATACCATAGATTTCTCTTGTGGGGTGGCCCTCTCTAGTTTCTGTTGAATAAACCTAAGAAGGAAGGGAAGACATTGAAATACATGTATGGGCATTCTATCGACGGTTCAGTCAACTTTTGATATAAAAATAATCTGCTAGATAGTCATTCCGCTTCAAAAGCAACAAATCAACAATAACAAAATTTGTCTCGAGAGTTTAATACCATATATGGAAATGTCACTGAATGTCAAGATCCAATAACTTACCACAATGATTTGCATTTATTTAGTAAACATTCATGAGAATTTCTAGGCTGATAGGAAATTAATATGGTTTTTTTTTTTTTATTTCAAGACGCTTGTTACCTTCAAATGTTCATAACACAATTAATGTGACATGTGTTATGATAAATAACTATACAATCTTTTCTAAATTTTGGTTCAAGTATTTGAATGAGTGATGTCCAAACATTGTCATATTACCTAAATGACATCGTATATTTGTCGTAAATTCATTATCAGTCTTATTACAATTCATTTCTGTAGAACAGTACCGGAGACACAAATGCTCTAATGCTAGTTGGTTAATTTTAGAAACCTTAAACTTTGAACCCTGAAACAGCACCTGTGCAAGTAAACTTTGATAAAAATTGAATTTTTTTTTTTATTAAAAGTCATGTTACTATAATGAGGAAATTGATGACAGGGCTGACTGCAACAGAACAGAATTCATAACTAAATGTATTTTTGAATACATTTTTATCAGCTCTTCCATTTTACAACCCATTATTGCCAGCACATACCGAGAGCCATGCTGGTCCTGAGAGAACTCTACAACATGATTGGTCAGATCCTTTAAAGTCAGGTTGGGAATTCTGTTGTTTCGAAAATCTTCCAGTAGTCTACTCCGCCCTGTTACCTCCTTCGACAAACTGGCACTGAAAAAAGAAACTAACAGTTATCAGCACTCAACTATTTACAACACGTCTAAATGAACAGTAACAACCTTGCTATCTACAACTATTTACAACACGTCTAAATGAACAGTAACAACCTCGCTATCTACAACTATTTACAACACGTCTAAATGAACAGTAACAACCTCGCTATCTACAACTATTTACAACACGTCTAAATGAACAGTAACAACCTCGCTATCTACAACTATTTACAACACGTCTAAATGAACAGTAACAACCTCGCTATCTACAACTATTTACAACACGTCTAAATGAACAGTAACAACCTTGCTGTCTACCTCTATTTCCATACAATGATCACTGCCATCAGGGCAGCAGATCTAGTTTGGTCTCTACCATGTCCCCTTGATAGAAGAAAACACAAAATTCTGCAGGCGACATGCTATTTATTTCCTTCAATCATACAATGGAACACAGCACAATTACCATGTCTCCTTAACCCTTTCGGCACCGTAGGCGACTTTGGTCGACATGCAGACAGGCCGCCACAGGCGACTAAAGTCAGCATACTGACAGGCCGCCGTAGGCGACTTTGGTTGACAATTTTTATATGTTTATTACATATATTTTTATATTTTGCGCTGAGCTGTACATTGTGAGAGATATTTGGCGATGAGTTGTACATTGTGAGAGATATTTGGCACTGAGCTGTACATTGTGAGAGATATTTGGCGCTGAGCTGTACATTGTGAGAGATTTTTGGCGCTGAGCTGTACATTATGAGAGATATGGGCTGAGCTGTACATTGTGAGAGATATTTGGCGCTGAGCTGTACATTGTGAGAGATATTTGCCGCTGAGCTGTATATTGCGAGAGATTTTTGGCGCTGAGCTGTACATTGTGAGAGATATTTGGCGCTGAGCTGTACATTGTGAGAGATATTTTTTGCCAAAAGGGTTAACATGATGGTAAAAAGATGACAATTTTTATATGTTTATTACATATATTTTTATATTTTGCGCTGAGCTGTACATTGTGAGAGATATTTGGCACTGAGCTGTACATTGTGAGAGATATTTGGCGATGAGTTGTATATTGTGAGAGATTTTTGGCACTGAGCTGTACATTTTGAGAGATATGGGCTGAGCTGTACATTTTGAGAGATATGGGCTGAGCTGTACATTGTGAGAGATATTTGGCGCTGAGCTGTATATTGTGAGAGATATTTGGCGATGAGTTGTATATTGTGAGAGATTTTTGGCACTGAGCTGTACATTGTGAGAGATATTTTTTGCCAAAAGGGTTAACATGATGGTAAAAAGATGTCGTACCTGCGTGAATGTAAGTTTGCTCTATTTGGGAAGAGAGTATTGCCAGGGAAGAGACCATTGGCAGAGCCAAAAGAACCATTCCTGAATTTAGTTTCGGCTCCAGGTGCAGCATTGTAGAGACGATTTCCAGCTGTCATACCTGAAAATAGTATTTTCTACTTGAAGCTACTATGACATTGCCAAATATTCCAAAACTGAATGAATTTTAATATGCAACAGATTATCTGAATATAGTATATTAGTAAGAAACTTAATCATTTTAACACCTTCCAACTGAATTTTTATAAATATCAAAACTGACTACAATTGTTTCGTCACCATCAGAACTGATCATCTTTCAAAATAAATTAATTAGAGATACTCCTCTTCAACATTCGGTGAGTTTTTCATTGGTGAGGATTTTGTGTTTGATCAAATGCTTTTTATAACCGCGAAAAATGTAGGGACGATACATTACCATGCATACCGATAGCCAAGTTTGTGTTGGAGCCGGATAAAGAGGGAGGTGGAGTCATTGACTGACCAGGTTGGACCAGGCCCATGGGGCCTGCAGGTGACCCAGACATAGACCCCATTGATCCATAAAACTGGTTGATGGGTAGCTGCGGCCTCTGTTTGAAATCAATGGAGTCTCGTCTTTGACCTACAACATACGAAATGTAAACAAATATAAATATATTGATCTTACTCATCTTAACATGTCATATTTGTTATTTTTTTCTAAGGTTTAAGTTTTACCATTTGACCAATTTCTTCAACTTTTGAAAGAAAATATTGAATAGTTCTCTGATTTCAATCTAAATTTTGACCTTGAGTTGTACAATCTCACAACTGGGTTTTTAGTGATATATTCTAATTTTCATTTTTTATTTTAGCTACTCATAGAGTTTGTGACTGGTAAATAACCTGCAATCAAGCTATGTGGACCATTTCTATATTTCTAAACATTAAAATCAGGTAAAATCAACACTGATATGTTCTTTCCCATACTGCTGAATGATCAAGTGGTAAGTGAACAGTAGAATCTTGTACATAATCTTAGTTAACGTCAATAAAGAGGGAAAAATAATCATTTCAAAGAATAATAACGTGAATATTAGCAAACTGTGTGATTCTTATAAGAAACATGATTTATGCAACGAAACTGAATTAATGAGAATTTTCAATCAGTTTAAAGCATTGTAGGATTGTATCTATCACAAATACCATGATGATACTTTTTACAACTAGCAGCGCCAGAGAAATGTCATCAGCAAAGCATTTATCTAAGCTACCATATCAAAATTTATTTTTACAAACATAACATTTTTCTCTTGACGCTTAACATGAACAGCAAACAATTGGTTTTAAATATTAAGTCACAGCATCTTTATTATCAGGTAAAACATCCAAATTTACTATAGCAACCAGACTTAATTCACTGAAACAAACATCAAGTTGACTTCATGCCATGCTAACAATTATGGAATCACAACAAAATGGATTCTGTATACACCAGTACAAGCATGCAATCTTGTCAAGGAAATTATTCTACAATCTGGTCCCAATATCAGAAAAACATATGTAATAGGCTTCAGTCGAAAATTGTTTCATGATCACCGTGCCTGATCAAGTTATAATTGATAAAAAAACCACAACAATATGAGAGTAAATTTTACAATATTTTGAATCAGATTCAATGTATCTGTGTATAATGAAAAAAGGATTATCAAGGTTAAATGTCATAAAAGTTTGGAACCAAGTATGTATGACCAAATCCAGCATTTTTATCCCTATGAATACATAGATGGGTGTGGAGTTAGGAAGGCACTCTTTAGTGACTCTGCTCTACACAATATGTAAATTCTAACTTCACATCCACAACATCCACAACATCCCCTATATATAACTACTATTACAAGAATTTGTCATTGTTCTTACATATTCCTTGTATTATCATAGCTGTTGGTAGGACATTAAGCAATATAACACCAAATCAAAATTATGTATTTCATATCTAGAATTGCTGATACTCCTTCCCACATATTGGTATCTGGAAAAACTGATGAAGCAACAGCAATGTGTGTTAATATGAAAGTAGCAAACTCTGAAGTACACTACTACTACTACACAACTGAGAGCAAGGCAAGATAGGGTAAAGTGTGTAAAATCAAAGATAAACACAAAGAAAAAAACGTGTTAGCTTTCCTGTATATGTATCCCATCTGTTTGGGAAAATGTGCAAAAAATATGTGGAAAATAAATCTGGATCATCATTCTAAATTAAAAAAAAACTGTGCAGATGAAAAAAAGAAAACACATACACTTTTTCATTCCAACATGTAAGCTACTCCCGAGCTTCTGCTAGGTGTACAACAGAAACAATATTCAATCCAAAGCGAAGGGGAGGCAACTCCCCCATTTATATAAGATTACTATCTGACTACCCACCAGAGCCAATAGTTCCTGGTGCTGTTGACCCCATGTTGCTAAAGCCAGTGTTGCCATAGTTACCATGTTGCGGATTGACTCCACTGAGCGGTGAGTAGAGACTGGCCGTTACTTGTGTGTAGGCCAAACTACTGCTAGGAGTATAGCCTACAATGCAGGTCAATATCCATGTTACTTGGTTCAGAATTATGACCCTCCACATCATACCAACATTAACCCCAATCATTGAGGCGAAATATTCTCAATGAAACCCCAGACGTGGGTGGACAACTCGATATCTGTTTTACTGTTCAGATTAACTACCAAGCTTTGAGGTGAAATATTCTCAATGAAACCCCAGACATGGGTGGACAACTCAATATCTGTTTTACTGTTCAGATTAACTACCCAGATTTGAGGTGAAATATTCTCAATGAAACCCCAGACATGGGTGGACAACTCGATATCTGTTTTACTGTTCAGATTAATTACCAAGCTTTGAGGTGAAATATTCTCAATGAAACCCCAGACATGGGTGGACAACTCGATATCTGTTTTACTGTTCAGATTAACTACCCAGATTTGAGGTGAAATATTCTCAATGAAACCCCAGACATGGGTGGACAACTCGATATCTGTTTTACTGTTCAGATTAATTACCAAGCTTTGAGGTGAAATATTCTCAATGAAACCCCAGACATGGGTGGACAACTCAATATCTGTTTTACTGTTCAGATTAACTACCAAGCTTTGAGGTGAAATATTCTCAATGAAACCCCAGACATGGGTGGACAACTCGATATCTGTTTTACTGTTCAGATTAATTACCAAGCTTTGAGGTGAAATATTCTCAATGAAACCCCAGACATGGGTGGACAACTCGATATCTGTTTTACTGTTCAGATTAACTACCCAGATTTGAGGTGAAATATTCTCAATGAAACCCCAGACATGGGTGGACAACTCGATATCTGTTATACTGTTCTGATTAATTACCAAGCTTTGAGGTGAAATATTCTCAATGAAACCCCAGACATGGGTGGACAACTCAATATCTGTTTTACTGTTCAGATTAACTACCAAGCTTTGAGGTGAAATATTCTCAATGAAACCCAAGGCATTGGTGGACAACTCGATATCTGACGTTATACCGTTCAGATTAATTACCAAGCACAATGTTCTAATGTTCTCTGTGGTACTTCAAGTATGAATATCAACATTTTACGAAGTTCAGAACTTCCTCACATGTAACCAAACTATAGGTCAATATCAATGCTACTAAGTTCAGCATTACTCCTATCAACCTCCTCACAGGTTAATAACCTAATGTATGAAACCTTGAAATGAGGTGAAGTACTCTCAATGTAACTTTTAAATGTAGATCAGTATCCATGATGGTTTGTGTACTAAATATTCTACACAAGCCTACATTCCTATAAACTAACATGAAAACTTATAAACTCCACTATACAATACATTAAACAAGTACAGACATATGACAAATATACAACACAACCTAACCAGTGATGAAACCGACCTACACCACTGCTATATGCTGAGACAACATTTTACCACTATTATGTCCTTAGAGGGAGGAAACTGGAGGTACTAGAGTCACCACTAAAAACAGTGATGTCTTTTTACTGATCAGTCAAAATGTCTTCTCATATCAAAAATATATAGTTATAATAATCACACATTTCTTTAAGGGTTATTTTCTTCCAGGTGTTTTATTTTCCACTATTTTGGAGAATGGAATAAAATCCCACAGAAAACTTAAAATTAATGGAGATAAATAACAGCTTTCACAGTTTTCCTGTAAAAATCTGAGTTAATATTTCAGAAAAATTATATCCTTTCTGATCTTAACTATGAGTACAACCGTAGCAATTTGATCCATCCAAAATATGCAATATAAACAGAATCTACAAATAGTTCAATATCTCCTGACTATTGTCTTGTCACGTTTCCACCACTCTGGCACTTCGTAAAAGCAAACTATCTAACTGTGCCCGTAGGTGCTATATTGTCTTGTTAAGAATGAATACAGACCAATGTGTCATGTTTTCTAGAATTGAATACTTATCTTCAAAGTTAAAATAAAATTAGCATTTAAAAAAATTCTTTTTTTTTGTTAATTACACATGTATGTCCTGAAATTACTTGTTATATTCTATAAATAATAGACTTCATTACAAATCATTAAAGCCAAATGTGTTTTTCAGTATGTGAAGATCTCTATGTGCTGGCATGCTTCTAATTGTGTTAATAAGAAAAGTTTGCACACACGAAATAGACTCCACTACTTTCATTGTTAGTATCAAATCAGGTCACTCCAAACTAGTCTAAAACGATAAACTGTTATAAGAACAAAAATTATAAACCTTCTATAGAAAGTTTTTTAATGTTAATGAATAATGCATGCCAGTGTTAGTCAATATGGTAAGTTCCTACCATACACTGGGTTAATTTTCCTTAGTAATGTTTCCATGGTTCCCAAAATGTGACTCAAAAACCTATTTTAAAACTTCTAAACAAATTGTTCAATAAGGACATAAATTAAACCAGCAGAAACAGTTCAGAAGTGTTTCACATTAAACATACTCCCTTACCTAGTGAATTCTGGGTAGAGGAAGTGGAGGTGCTGGAGTAAACTGGTGGCGTGGTTTGAGCCTGCGTTGTCAGCAGACGCAGTGGATTACTGCCGAGAGAGTTGTTTCCCCCTCCTACAAAACCACACTCAGCAGATTAATGGTCAAATTGTCAAATGGTTGTCAGAAATTCTAAATATCTCTAATTTTTTTAATGAACATGAGTATATCATGTCGTCCTTTGATAAATTCAATTGAATATCCATTTTGAAATAATTACACGGACAATTATACTCTTGGACAGAACACTGTTGTAAGGGTCACTGTTTCAAAGTGAAACACATGATTACCAGAACAAATTCTCAAGCAATCATCAACCAAATTCTAACTTAACGTGTCAAAACATCAACACTCGTGTGTGTTACCTTGCTGGTTGGCTGCTGCACTGACTAGAACGGGGGCGGGAGAGACAAGACGGACTGGCGTGCCAATACCACGGGGATTGCCCATCACCAACTGACCATTTTGGTCATAATAAGCAGGCGCAATGATCTGGTACTGGGCATCTGCAACAAAAAAAAAAATAAGATTTTCAACGAAAGAAGTACCTGGAAAAACTGAAACTGATGAACATTTCTCTTTATCAAAGAGACCACAGATGAGCAATGACAGTTATTTGCTAAGTGGCACGGAGAACATTTTTTCTCAGAGTATATTCTAAAGTAGCAAAGGTAGGGTATATCCAGATGAATGACATCCATCAATTTTTTTTGTACAGTCAAACCAGCTTTCTAGTCCACCTCTGTACAACAAATACCTGTCTATACAAGAGGCCCAAGGGGCCTCAACGGTCACCTGAGGAATATATGTCAATAATCTGGGGATTTTAAAATGTTGCAAAAATGTAACAACACTTGTGCAGGACCATGTGTAAAACGTCTGTACCAAGTTTGAACATGACCCACCCAATGGTTCTTGAGAGGAAGTCTATAATGTCTTAGCCAAACAGAGGTCATGGTGGCCATTTTGGATTTTGAATCGCCCCAAAAACTTAAAACACTTGCCAGGACCTTGTGTAGAACATTCGTATCAAGTTTCCCTCCCCCCTCTCCCCCCCCCCCCCCCAATTCCTGGGGCCCCTATTGGGGCCACACCCTTTTTCTTCGCAAACTAGAAGCGGCTTCCCATGCGGATGCTTTGGTCAATATCCATCCACTGGTTCTTGAGAAGTAGTCATTTAATGAAGGTTTTTACATATGGCCCCTTTTACACCCCTTATGGGCCCCAAAGGGGACATTATCACTTTTTTCAACATAATTTCATATGTCCTTCACTAAGGGGGCTTTCTACCAAATTTGGTTGAAATCGGTCAAAGTTGAAATTTTGACCCTTTTGAGCGCCCCCTAGTGGGGCCGTTTTTGACCCGATTTTTTTTTTCATTCGCAAACTTTGTAGACCTTGCCATAAGGATCCTAAATATCAAATATGAATTTAATCTGACTGTTGGTTCAAGAGAAGAAGATTTTTGAAGATTTACCTAATTTCACCCCCTTCTGCAGCCCCTATTAGAGCCACACCCTTTTTCTTCGCAAACTTGAAGCAGCTTCCCATGAGGATGCTTTGTACCAAGTTTGGTCAAAATCCATTCAGTGGTTCTTGAGAAGAAGTCGAATATGTGAAAAGTTAACAACGCACGACGACAGACAAATCATGATGGCAATAGGTCACCATGAGCATTCTGCTCAGGCGACCTAAAAAGCTACTCGCTTTAGTTACAAGTGTTATGCCATTCAGTGTAATTGAACTTCTACATAAGGTTACCTGCCTATGGTGCAACCTGCTTATAAAGGCACAAGATATAGTAATCGTCAACAGGAATATATTGTCAGTGAGATGGCACCTTGAAACGGGATGAGCCACAAATATTTCTCTTTAAGTGGCCTACAAGTTTGAATGAAGTTTACACAAAGATTGCCTAGTTGTTTTACTGCAAGCATTTAAGGTTGACTTACTTGGAGCCTGAAGTGGTTGATGCTGGAGAGACGAAGGTTGACTAGGCATGTTTTCATTTTGCTGAGATGGCGTAATAGGTCGCCCCGACTGACCCCGGAGCACCTGTTGCTGTTGTTGCTGGTTGAGTCCCTGTGGAGTTTGTTGACCCTGCTGTTGTATCAGATTTGCAGGGTAAATACCCCAGGGGGCCTGTACTCCATAGTACTGGGGATGGAGTACGGTGGGACCTACAGAGGACAGCGAGTTATACACAACACAAGGCAGGATTTCATCGGCCTCAATATTACACATCCCATCAAAAACACTTGAGTATTAACTCCATCACAATACCAAATATCTCCTATTGATGTCATACCAAGCAATTGGTTGATGATGGACAATTCTTCATCATATGCTTGTGATTTTTTCAATTTCTAAAAAACCTCTTCTTCTTTCACAATTTTTACAGCACAAAAAGTTTTTTTGTCAATCAGTATCTGCAAATTTTTTTCCCTCTTCTTTTTCGGCAATAAACAAATTCTTCCTGATTTATCTTTACATTTTGTAGTAACTTTACAGTCTTGAAAAGTTTTTTTTTTTTTTTTAATTTGAAATATCAAATTATTGTAAAATATTAACGTGAAACTCTTGACCTGTGCTGAATAAAATTATCTTCACAATTAGCACTGTCAACAGCTATAGGAAGTATCTCTGACCGACATGTTCCGATGAGGAATAGTGAAGGTAATAATCAGGGTCTCTGATGGGATGTACAGATTTACATAATAAATGGTACCTGAGCAATAAATGACATCAGACTCTCCAATTGGTAACTGGTTAGTCCAAAAAAAAAGTTTCAAAAATGCAAACAAAACTGAGGTAAAATAAGGTAATATAAACAGAGAAATGTAAAAAGTTATGTTAGTATCAAATATGAAAAAAATAAACTAATAATATTGATTTGTTGATTGAAAATCACATGAAAATGATATAACATTGAAACATTGAAAACACAAATTCACAATATTGAAATAAAAAGGTTGAAATGATGGGAAAAATCACTAAAACAGCATCCAAGGTAAAATAATATAGTTTCTCATTTCTAGTCTCTTAATTAATGATTAAAATTTCAGCATGACACTTATAAATACTGTGAAGCCGAACATTTTCCCAACGATTATATTCTAAGACAACCATCTTTGTGTCCTTATGACCTTGGAAGCTATCTTACTGTCAGTGACCCCTCTGCCCTCACTAACACTTAGTCAGGCCGGAAGGACAAACTCAAGTGCCAAGTCTCAACATGCCAAATGTTTCAAAATATTACATTTTTCTTTTTTTTTTTTTGTGTTGACCTTACAGAAGTTGTTAAAAGGAGTTAAATATTTGCAGTTTGAAGAAGCAGACGCCATTTTGCAAAAGAAGTCTGCAGAAACAGGGTTCAAATAACTACTGGGTAAGTTTGCACTCTAACTTTTCACGATCAGCTCCATAGCTTTCAAGCACTATAGCATCACTCCTTTTACGAGGTGTTTTTATCAAGATCTTATCAATATGTAGAGACTTCCTACATTGTCTTGTAGCAGAACAATTTTAGAACTTGGAACTACATATCATTGCAACTTATTGTGACATTTTCCTGTTTGGGACCTTACAGAATTTTTTTTTTTTATTATAATTGAATATCTTTTTTAAAAAACCAACATATACAATCCAGTGTGATGGATGTAACACACCATGCTCTAAAACATAAGGTGTTACTTTGGATATTAATTCATGGTATCCTGATGTCTAGTTTCCGAATAAATCAAAGAGGGTTTTGATAACATCAGTATTCAAATATGACAGATTGAATATTTCTTTGTATCACATGAACCACAAATCCTTACATGTGTTTATTCCAGAAGGACCACGATTTATAGTATATTACAGATGGACCACGATTTATAGCATATTCCAGAAGGGCCACGATTTATAGTATATTCATATTCCAGAAGGGCCACGATTTACAGCATATTCCAGAAGGACCACGATTTATAGAATATTCCAGAAGGGCCACGATTTATAGTATATTCATATTCCAGAAGGACCACGATTTATAGTATATTCATATTCCAGAAGGGCCCTGATTTATAGAATATTCATATTCCAGAAGCACCACGATTTATAGTATATTCCAAAAGGGCCACAATTTATAGCATATCCCAGAAGGGCCACGATTTATAGTATATTCATATTTCAGAAGGGCCACGATTTATAGCATATTCCAGAAGGACCACGATTTATAGAATATTCCAGAAGGACCTCAATTTATAGTATATTTCAGAAGGACCACGATTCATAGAATATTCATATTCCAGAAGGACCACAATTGATAGTATATTCCAGAAGGGCCACGATTTATTGAATATTCCAGAAGGACACCACAATTTATAGCATATTCCAGAAGGGCCACGATTTATAGTATATTCCAGAACGGCCACGATTTATAGTATATTCCAGAAGGGCCACGATTTATAGCATATTCCAGAAGGACCACGATTTATAGAATATTTCAGAAGGACCACAATTCATAGAATATTCATATTCCAGAAGGACCACGATTTATAGTATATTCCAGAAGGGCCACGAATTATTGAATATTCCAGAAGGACACCACGATTTATAGCATATTCCAGAAGGGCCACGATTTATAGTATATTCCAGAAGGGCCACGATTTATAGCATATTCCAGAAGGGCCACGATTCATAGAATATTCATATTCCAGAAGGACCACGATTTATAGTATATTCAAGAAGGGCCACGATTTATAGCATATTCAAGAAGGGCCATGATTTATAGCATATTCCAGAAGGACCACGATTCATAGAATATTCATATTCCAGAAGGACCACGATTTATAGTATATTCAAGAAGGGCCACGATTTATAGCATATTCCAGAAGGGCCACGATTTATAGCATATTCCAGAAGGACCACAATTTATAGTATATTCCAGAAGGACCACAATTTATAGTATATTTCAGAAGGGCCACGATTTATAGTATATTCCAGAAGGACCACGATTTATAGTATATTCCAGAAGGACCACGATTTATAGTATATTCCAGAAGGGCCACGATTTATAGTATATTTCAGAAGGGCCACAATTTATAGTATATTCCAGAAGGACCACGATTTATAGTATATTCCAGAAGGACCACGATTTATAGTATATTCCAGAACGGCCACGATTTATAGTTTATTCATATTCCAGAAGGACCACGATTTATAGTATATTCATATTCCAGAAGGACCACGATTTATAGTATATTCATATTCCAAAAGGACCACGATTCCAAAAACAGAAAATAAAAATTTCATAACTAGAAGAAAATATTTCTTTTTTAATCTTAAAGAATTGTAGAAGTTATTGCTGGAAATCACTCTTTCTTTTTAACTCCTGGAATTCAATATCTGTAGACATGTAAAACTTGAAACACTGGCATGTGTAAAGAGACCATGGAGGAGTCAGCTTAAATACTAATTACTGGAATTTATCTATAAATGTAGTGTTTATATCTAAAATTAATAAAAAAAAATGTTGAATTCACTTATACTATGGAGAAATGTTTTAATCTATAATTTCTTCAATCTACATATATTATGTAATGTTAATGCATTAATTCACACAAATAAAGCTTTTTAATATAAAAATTTATCTTTTACAAAATGACATTGACATATCACCTAAATATGTGTTCTTTACATTGAATAATTTATATCTAATTAAAACTTTTAATTTCAATTAATATTTAATTCAAAGCCAGTTGAATTACAAAAGATATCTGACCTGCAGCGATGGGAATCCCAACGGCGTATGGGTCCTGCGCGTTGATAACATAGGGAGTTGGTGTGAGAGCGGTAGGAGGCAAGCCTACGTATAGAGAGCATAGCGGCCACCGTAAGCCATGCACAAATTTCACACACATGCACAATACACCCCACTTCTACAAAGGTAGCACCCAATCCCTCCTAAAAAGTTTTCCATTGGAAAACAACACTCCAGGGATCTTTCTTACAATTTTTAGAAATGGAACCTTGATTGAGTTCATGCATCAACCACAAATGTTTTCCTTCTATAAGAAACAATCATCAACTGTACACTCAGTTATGTTTTGGTGGTTTAATATTTGCTTGTAATTCAAATTTTCATATTGCTTGTTTCAAACTTACTTCAGATATTTATTTCTTTATCAAAACCAGATCATCAAATGGTTGAGAATGGACTTTTTCCCACTCAGTAACAGGCATAATAATTAATGACGTTCTAACTATTGTGTTCTGTTGCCCACCATAACCACTGAAATAACAGTATAGGTGCACACTATCTGAAGAAGTGGGGATGACATTGTTGAATCTGTCTGTCTTTGTTACGAATCTGCATCTCTTTCACCTGTTGCTTTTGTTTCACAGGTATACAATAAATTTCTTTTGTTGGAAAAGAAAAGGAGGTGGGACATAGGTTAATGATTCAGAACTAATTAATTTAGCTGAATGACAATAGAGTGAACTTTTATTACACCCAAGCTACATGTACAAAGGGAGCGTCTGGTCAGAGGAAATTCTTTTGTACCAAATCTGCTGGAAGACAATTGGTAATTGACAGGAGATTTTGGAGCCGAGAGGTGCAGAGACGTGCATGCTATGTTCACATGGAAGACAATACTGAGAATAACAAAGTAACAAAGTACTTAAATAAGGTTATAACTCAAAACAGAAATCAAAGAAAGCATAACAAACTACAGAATACGCTGTCTTATCTATTCACTTGTCTTGCTCTATACAACAGAATTTACCCACTGCTTTCCTGAAATCATTATAACAATGAGTAATTCTACAACCTTGATGTCATAAACTATTACGATTTTTTACTGAGCAACAGAAAATTTCAAAACTTATGAAAATAAAGCTCTTCTGAAATTTTACGACATCTTTTTTAAGCCAACACTCAAAACCAAAATATTATAATTTTGTGTCTGAGCTTGCCTACACCACTCTTCAATGACATGATATTGCACTTTTATTTAATTTGACCAGTTTAACCCCAAAATGTTAACACTGTTGCCTAAGTAATATTCCGTCATTTCGAACAGCTGAAGGTTTTGATTTTCTGAAATATTAGCGGGATATAAATTTACACTTATATACAGCTACATATTTCATGTTTTGCAACAGATTCCATAAAATACATCTATTTTATCCCACAACAAAAGCTGAAACAATACTGAAATTAACATTACGAAACATGTAAAAATAACACACTGGTTATGTGGAAGATAGTCCAAAAGCAATATTTGAGGTTTTCTGAATAAAGCAAGACAAAGTAAAAGATGCAGACAGAAGTTCCTTATGATATTCCTATAATATTTCAATAATAAACATTGATATGTAACACTATAAAGTTTTTCACTTCAGAAGAATATTACAGTTTAAGTCAACACTAAAGAAATGAACCACTTGTAATGTGCAGTTATTAGTTTATATTGTAGGAATTTTATCAAATATAATACATTTTGAAAATCATAACGTAATTTAAATTAATGTTTAATATTTTGTAAAGTTCCAATTTTAATATGATTTATCATGGAAAGAAAATGGACAGTTACCCATTACTCTTTTCAGACAGAGTTAAAACTTTAAATGATTTAAAGAATTTTAAATATCAGTACCTGTCACCTTGACAAAGTTTCCTCCCATTGCAAATGAGGGTAACTAACTGCTTGTCACAATAAAGACTTTCATCTCTATATTGTTACATATTTGGCTTGAACTTGTATTCCAGACCTTCAATCAAATACCTGTCCAGTGTCTTTTCTTTATTCTTTAAATTGTAACTTCAATTCTTCTCAATGTAGAGATATATGTTGAGAATTTGTTTATAAACTCAAATCTAGAACATGTTGACCAGCCAAATGTTGGGACTTCCCTTTCATGGTTATACCTGTGACCTTTAATAATTAACCTTCATGTTACTAATTTCAAGCGGTAAATGTCAGAATGCAAAGACTTGGATACAAATCTTCATCATCTCTTCACACAAAGCTTGTGCTGACAGAATAATGCCCACTCATCATCTTGTAAAGTTGCTGAGTATAAACAAGTACAGGACAGTTTGTTGTGTTTGTATTATGTGACTAGGTACGACATTACAATAACCATGCAATAAAATTAATACTATTTCTGATCTACATTTACAATTAATACACATTAGAATTGTCCATTTCCGTAACTACAGCCGAACAATCTGGTACATTTCTCTAGTGTTAAATCAAAACATCCTTCATCAAAATGTACAACGGGGCAATGAAGAAATTCTGTACTGATGATTTAGACATGTTTTACAACAGGTTGACCTATCCGTCCTGTAGGACTGTTTTCCACAACTTCCATAATCTTTAATTCCCCACAAGTAGGCTTATTACAAACTCCCACTCTATGGGAGAAATCTTCCCCAAGACCCAGACAACAACATATCACAACAATAAAAGATCTTATTGGCGATGCAAATAGAACCTTCAAGTTTAATCATAATTTTCTAATCAATCTATTGAATATCTAACTGGTCTTTTCAAGTCAGATGAATTGTGAAAACTGTATGCAGTTTTCAAATACGTTCTCAAAAGTATTAATGTTTTAATATTGTTTTGCTTTTCGCATTTTGTAATTTTCTTCATGGAAAACAACCCTAGTAAGACCTCCACCAAACAACAAATTCATTTAATTATTTACAATAAATATATCCAATAGACTCCTATATAAAACTTAATCGGCATATTTTGGTGTTGGTGGATGACTAGCTGGGCACAACAGTAACATTTTGGGCATACATTGAGGTGAACAGGACTAAAGACAAAAGATCACCACGACAACCCGACATACCCAGCTGCTGCTGCTGCTGTGTCGCCAGGGCATATTGTTGCTGAGTCAGGACTGCGATGGGCTGCTGCTGTCGCTGGAGTAACTGCTGTAAATTACAAGTAACAGCTACATTAACACACCAGTTAATCCCGGACATCTTGGTACCAAATCTAAAATTAGGCATCACTAGTTAATCCCCAACATCTTGGTACCAAATCTAAGATTAGGCATCACTAGTTAATCCCCAACATCTTGGTACCAAATCCAAGATTAGGCATCACTAGTTAATCCCCAACATCTTTGTACCAAATCCAAGATTAGGCATCACCAGTTAATCCCCAACATCTTGGTACCAAATCCAAGATTAGGCATCACCAGTTAATCCCCAACATCTTGGTACCAAATCTAAGATTAGGCATCACCAGTTAATCCCCAACATCTTGGTACCAAATCCAAGATTAGGCATCACTAGTTAATCCCCAACATCTTTGTACCAAATCCAAGATTAGGCATCACCAGTTAATCCCCAACATCTTGGTACCAAACATCACTAGTTAATCCCCAACATCTTGGTACCAAATCTAAGATTAGGCATCACCAGTTAATCCCCAACATCTTGGTACCAAATCTAAGATTAGGCATCACCAGTTAATCCCCAACATCTTGGTACCAAATCTAAGATTAGGCATCACCAGTTAATCCCCAACATTTTGTTGTGTATCAAGTGGATATTGAAATTGTGTAAAATTGATACCCAACACATGCGAGTAGTCAGGTTAAGATTTGAATACAATTCCTTTAAGAGACTGATACAAAAGTTGTATAAATGATACCTGTGAGTAGTCCAGATTAAAATTTGGACTTTCCATAGACGGCATCAGCTGGTTGCTGTAGTCAAACTGTATAGGATCAATACCAACTGGCTCAAAATGGGGAGGATCAAGCTGGAAGCCTGGCTGCTGGAACTGAGGAGCAGGACCATCACGGAAGTCACCATGTTCATTGTTGCTATTGGTCATGGACATTTTTTGGTTGTCAATCATACTCTTGCCTTCCTCTCCAGGTGGTGAGTTCTGTCGACTACTGCGCCGATTACTGTCAAAACCAAAACTGATATTTAATGCTCATGCACTCCAATTATCCAGCATGTAAACTGAAGACGAAGTAGTACAAAGGTGAGGAAAATAGTTACATTTTCTAAAAGAATGATATTTTCCCCCTTTTTAGTCATTTTCCGAAAATAACCCTACATTTTTGCTCAAGGAAGCAGCCTTTGTAAGATACTTTATAATCAGAAATCTGCTTGATGTTGCTGACACTGTTTAAGATGTTCTATCTCATCTTCCCCATGTAAGTGAAAAAGTCTCAAAAACACTATGGGAAAAATTATTTGGTTGCCAAACACTCTGCAATCCTCACAATTGACAACTTTTGAATATGATCCCTTGTGTTATGCTGTTCTTCAGTCTGTTCAAAAATATGGCCGGAGTCTGGCAACGTACAAAATGGAAATGCCATGCATCATAATAGATAGGATTAAAGGTTAACCTAGTATCCTCCACTTATGTACAAAGGTGACAGTAAACAAGTAAACACCAACCAACCACCTCGCCCCGATAGTTGAGACAACATTGTATTACTCCATTATTGGCACTCATGTAGGTAAAGTTGAATATAACACTGTCATAGTTACATGTACCCTTTATACCTATAGCCTTGGTCGTCATCAAGCCCATTCTGCAAGAGTCCGTTACTTTGTAAGTTTTCTTTGTTTTCATCGCCACGGTCGTCATGTCCCTCAAAAGGTGATGGTGTTTTACTCTTCTTTTCCTGGTCGGAGACTCCATGGTCCTGTTGCTGCATTGGGTACTTTCTTGACATCTGAAACAGCAGGAATGAAAACAGATTTACAAGTAGCAGAGCCAAAACCTAGATTTTTCAGTCTTTAATATTGGAAAGATTAAAATTTTGCATCAACTAAACTGCTACAAGAAGTTGAATTTTTTTTTATCTCTCATAAATTACTTTAGCTATATTTTGAACTAGAGTGAACTTGACCCCTCCCAAGAGATAAATGTGCAATCCTGGGGTCATGAAATTTACAATTTTGATAAAGAATATTAACACCCTTCTTTTCATTAAGATTACTTATTTTACCATATTTGGGTATTGAGAAGATTTTTCAAATTTCAGGTAATATGACCCTTTTTTGACCCCATCTCTCAGGCCTCTGGGAGTTGAGGACCATATAATTTACAATTTTTGTTAACCTTTAGACATAAAGTTTCCTTGAAAGGAGGTTTTCCAGAAGAATAAAAAAAAAAGTGTAAAAAGTTTAAGGACACAATTTGAAGACCAATTTCTGTTGTTTCCAACTGAAACTGCAGTCACCAGGTTTCTTGAGGCAGCTGTAAAGTGCTTGTTAGTTGGGATTTATTGCCAGAAGTAGACAAAATTAGAAGACTTACATAAGGTCCTTTTGGCATTCGGTTCATCCTGGGATCCATATCTTTGTTTCCAGGTGACCCGCCCCCTAGAACATATTCCACCAAATCTACTCCAAGGGCCACAGGCTCTGTCATAAAATACACAATTAACATAGTGTATTTATTCCTCACTGCCACTCTACACATACTTACAATGCAAGGGACAACATTACTATATTGGTACAAAATTCAGTTTTCTTTTTTTTTTTTTTTTTTAATTTTGCAAACAAAATCAACTGGAAATGAAAATTCACATAACTAGAATCAATCATTCTTTATCAAAGATTTGAAATTATGTAAACAAGATTACCTTGGGGATTTCCCCACGCGTCTTCTCTGGCACCTGTTGTCCATGGACTTGGGAAGATCTGCTTCCCAGGATCCCCGGAGTGTTTGCCTCGGTCATCCCACAACAACTTTTTGGCTGACTGGTTTGGCGGAAGCTGAAGAACACAATAATTCCATACTAAATAATTAAACGATGGTATGTTCTTTAAAATAACATTAAAATGTAATCTTCAAAGAATTAAAATGACATCCAGACTGATGTGTCCAGATTTTCAGTGTCCAGACAATATTCAGAACTAGTAAGGTTCATCAAGTTTCTTTCTCTTTGTCGACACTTTATTTACACACAGTACCTGTAACTCAGTGTCTAATGATTATTATCTTAATGAAATGAAATTATTTGTCCTAGCTTCTTCTGTAATTATCTACTTATACTATCAAGTTTATTGTTATAACATTGTGTACTAAAAGTTTGGAAACGGTGCATGTATTCTTCAGAACCACATTACTTCTATATTTTAGTAATAAAACTTGTGTTCATTTCGCACATTAATGAATTAGACCAAGAAAGAATGTAATTTTAAATGATTAGCTGTTAAGAACATTTGGAGTAACTGGTTAATAGTTTTAGGGCAATATGCCAACCCTAGTTACACTGTAAGATTACTGCTGGTACCCATACTCTCAGAAAGAATACCTTTTAATTAGTCAAGTGGAAAAATTTATGCTAATCAACACTTAAGAGATCCTGGTCAGAACTTGGAATTCATTAATACAACATACTTGTAGAGACTGATCAGTTGGTAAGTTTCTATCAACGAGTTCCACCTTGCTAGATATATCTATTTCATTATCAGCTCAAGGACCACTGATTGCGAAGCACAAACTTCTCCAATCAATATACTACTGCTAAGAGTAATTAGCTACTACTACTGTATTGTGAAAACATCTTACTTCACTGATTCCTTGTCATAACCACAGACTGATTTCCTGCTATCCTGAGCCGTGTGAAACTGTTTGGCTGTTACAAATACCACTTATTTCTTCTTTCCATTTTGAACAATTTCCCTGTTATATTGGAATATGTGGATCTTGCAAAGCCTTACCAAAATACTTAATATTCTTCACTGAAGTTTAGTTATCAGACATTTCAGACAAGTTTCATTTGATGTATAATTATTACCTTTGCTGTAATTTGTCTTCTAATAATACTTAAATTTCAGTTTGACATTATTTTTTATCTAGGTTTGACAGCCTATGCAGTTAAGTATGTAAACTCCCTGTTCTTATTTTAAATTTTATTTCTTATTGATGTATTTTTTAAATGATGATTGAGACAATTAAATCATAGGCCGGAAAAAGGATGTTCCTAAAGTGCAGACTTAATCAATAGTAAATGTCATGTACAATTATAAATGTTCAAGCGACAACAAGTTGGTTTGCTTTACGTCCTATTAACAGCCAGGGTCATTTCAGGATGTGCCTGGTTAAGGGATGGAGGCAAGTCGTTCTGGAGAAAAACCACTGACCTATGATATGTACCTAGCGACTGACCTACGACCCAGAGGTAGAGGGCTAGTGATAAAGACCGTTGGGCGCCTTAACCACTCAGCCACCACAGCCCTGAGATGATGGCATAGTACCAGTGCTATCCATAATCATAATTTGGTAATAAATACCTTGAATATAAAAAGTGAGATAGCACTATCATTATAATTGATAATGAATATTCTGAACACCAAATTGTAAAAGTTCAGTCTAGACAAGAGCTTGCTGTGGATCTAGTCTATTTTCTCAGTGTAGTGCAATGCTCAATAATGCTACATAGTGTACTTCTCAGTGTGTGTGTATATATGTTATATAGGTCATTCCACTTCAATGTTGTATACACTAAATGAACTATTTCTGTATTTCTATTTATAAACTCTGGTACAATATACACATGATAATTCAATGCAACATACACGACCAACTGATTGATCAGGTTACCTGTAGCTCTGTAATCCACACAGCCTTCTGATACCTTGTTTTGAAATCTAACTTTTAGTTCAACATGAAAATACTTAAATGTTGTCCATAGATATTTCTACAATGCAATGCCACCTCTTCTGACAATGTTTCCGATCTAAAAGATTCTAATGTCTAAATTTCATAAAAGTTATTTACAGTAAAATCAGACATATTTTTATTGGGTTAAATTTTTTGTAGTTCTTCAAAAAATAAATCATGTAACGGACTCTTGATTTGATAGCTCAACAAATCTGCTTGTACTTATTTTAGCAGTTAGCCAAGATATGAATTCATTCAGAATATCCACAAAATCAATGAAAATTAATTCCCTATAAAAATGAATGATTTTGCAGCATCTGAACTTGTACTGATATTGGTAACAACATAAAGCCTCTAGATAGCAAGTATATGACTTTTAGAACACAAGGACGAAGGCCAGGTGGACTCTACACTATCTAGGATAAGTTGACCAGGCTGTACAGACTTACCTGGCCCTAGTCACCTTATAGAAGTCATGATCAGTAGGTCAAACTTAACAGCCCATGTTGTATACTGAACTCGGACCTCTTCCCACATTAATTTTTTGTCTGATTTCGGGAGTAAATTACATTGTTTGGAATTTGGCGTAAACATGAATAATTTCATTTGGAGAAAGATCTGTTATTTAGCCCCCAAGTAGCCTTTAAAAACAATGACATATAATTTGTTGAAATGTTTTTAATTCGAACATTTCTTTACTTGTTTTTAATTAAGATCCCTGTAACCTTTAAAAAGTGAGTTAATGATAAGGCAGTTTATAGAATAATCTTGATAGTGCCTTATCATCATGATCAAAGTTCTCTACATGATTCTGATTAAACACATAGTGATGCAGTTCTAATACAACAATTTTGCTCAAATGTTTAAAGCTAGTCTTTTTTTAGATGAAAAATGAAAATGTCAAACCTGTAATACAACTTTAAGAACACAGTATTTTTAATGTACTTCCATGAACTCAGAAAAAAATATGATTCTCTAAATATATTAATGCAAGGCTGAAGATGCACATTAATAGAATGTTTGAATTCCTTACAGATGACAATATATCATTCTATACATATAAATTAACTGCAGTACGTACAGCTGAATATATTTTTTTCTGATAAAAAGCCAATAAGACTTTCTAGCAGACAGAACTGTATTGTGACTGGCATTGCAGCATACACACACAGTCTACACCAATATCAGCACACACACACATTTCACAAACCATTCAAACAGCAACAGAAGATGACTCATCCCCCATACCAAACTGAATCCAAGCAAGAGAATAAGTTGACCTTAAATATCATTCAAACCTCTGTATAGCTAGTTATATCAAGTTGGTTAATATAGCCTTCATACCATTAAAGAAATTATAACTACTATAGCTTATTATAGTCTTTACAGAGTTACAGAAACTATAACTACCCAGATATATAGCTCAATATAGTCTTTACAGAGTTACAGAAATTATAACTACCCAGATATATAGTTTATTATAGTCTTTACACAGTTACAGAAATTATAACTACCCAAATATATAACTCAATATAGCCTTCATACCATTAAAGAAATTATAACTACCCAGATATATAGCTTATTATAGTCTTTACACAGTTACAGAAATTATAACTACCCTGATAAATTGCGGAAATAGACTTTACACAGCTGAATAGTCTTTACATAGCTACAGAAATTATAACTACCCTGATAAATTGCTGAATATAGCCTTTAGAGTTACAGAAATTATAATTACCGTGATAAATTGCTGAATATAGTGTTTACACAGAGTATAGTCTTTACACAAGGGGGGTAAAGACACTGAGAAAGTAAGAACTTACACGGAGCTAGAAAGCCAAAGTTTCTTATCTCCTTTTCATGAGATACGGGATGTTATTTTAGCACACAAGAAATGGAAACAAAAATGAGGTGCTGAGTTAATAGATAAAACTGTTATCCCTATAATCTAAACCATCAAATACATTGGTTATGAATACAGGCCAAGCATTGGTACAGGAGCCAGATTTGGCTGTGTGTAGTCAGTGTCAACATCATCTGGCAAAGTGCAGACTTCAATGAAATTTTATAATGCATACATGCATATTTTTTCACTTTTTATTAGTATTTCACTATATTCTTTCTGGATTAAGTTTTGTTCATGTGGACTGCAAACTAAACCTGCCCTTATCCAACCAAATGTTCATGTCCCATGCATGGCCAGTTTGGAGAAGTTCCACTGAGTGTGGTTTTAATATTAACAAGACTTTTAAAAACAACTTTCTTTAAGGTGTTATTTGAATTGTTGAGGTCAAAAATTGAAGTCTTTTAGACCTTAACATTTAAAAAAAAAAAAAAAAAAGTCTTCCTCAAAATCTGCCTAATCAAAACCGAATCTGAATCTGTGCCCCAGTTTCGTAAATGTCACTAACCTATACCAAGCAGTGCAAAATGGGAGAGTAGATTAAGATATCTATTTAACCACAACGTCATGAATATATATTAGATATAAAATCCTGTTAACAACACAAATTATAATACAACTAGGATTTTCACTTCTTAACATTTGCAGTCAATTACATAACCTTGATATTTCATCCAGAATCAGTAGTCAAACTTTAAAAGCATGATGTTTATCAATAACTAATCCATTTCCTGATCTGGGCTGCAGGCAATCTAGCTAGGTTAAATTTCTAAAACTTGTAATACTGAATTTTTTATGGCATTTAAATGTGACTTGCATGTATCACAAGTGTATGTAATTTGATGTAAGCTTAAGAAACTGTGAGGTACTTTGAATATACATCTCATGACCTCGATATTACAAACACAGCCATTGATGATTCAATCTATAATCATGCTGAGATATCCACGAGACATTTCATGTCTTGAAATGTGATCTACAACAGATCTGGATGCAAGGAACACTCAAGTTAATGAATTTCTTTCTTCAGAAAATGGTTTGCAGCATGAAGCCTTAAAATGTAAATCAGCTGAAAAAATTCATGCATGGGGCAGCTATGTGTTCTTTCATCAAAATTGGTCAATAAAGCAAACGATAAGATTTTCACATACCTAGCTTGTTTGTCATGTAATATGACCATATATAAGACATATATGTGACATA